TACCAACTTTGGGAGATGCCCCATCCTGTACCTGCATCCAGCCCTGGGGATGGCACAGGTCTTCTAGTCACCAGGCCCCATACCAAGCCAAACCCTGGGCCCCACCAAGGACAGAGCCCCAGAGAAGTGGAACAGGAGTTGAGTTTTCTAAGCCATGAATGAGGAGGGGTGGATGGGGAGGGCTTGGGATTGGTGGACTGTTTTTACCAGGGGCAAGGAAGACAGATGAATGACAAGCTAGGTCACAGCCCCTGCTTACAAGTAGTCCCTCTGCTTCCAGGATCCCAACCAAAAAAGGTGGGGACGCTCTGGTTTGCTGAGGTGGCTGAGGTGGGGCCATGGGAGGCTCCGTCAGTGGCTGGTAGTAGCCCTCCTCTATGGCTGCCCCGCTGGCTAGGGCTCTGGCCTATTGAATTAAAGCTGTAAAGATGTAAATCATGTTGATGGCATCCTTGGGCCCATCCACACCTTCTGTTAGCACTTCTGGGCCATCCCTGGCAGAGCCACCCCAGGCTGCAGGGTTCCTTGGACTGGGTCCCAAAGCCAGTGAGTTGGATCTGGCGGCAGCTTTGAAGAAGGTATCACTTGCGTTGCAGAGATTCCCTGTCTGGGGTCAGGCTTCTGAAATATCAGGACACTACCAGCTGCAAAGACGCCTCCCCGATCCATGTACACAGAGATTCAAATTCAGACCCCTACCACTCTCAAACCTTGAGCATGTCTCTGAAGGTCTCCATGCCCCAGTGTCCTCAACTATAAATGCATGGCTGTCATAAGGGTGAAATATTATGTAAATGGAACTAAGTCCTGTCCTTCCTTCATGATCAGAGCTCCTAGGACTAGGAGCCAAATGGAGGGATGATGGCATCCATGGGGCTGGTACAGGGTGCTTCTGTCAACTGCTTGGTCATCAAGGGACCCTGAAGATATTGAAGCCAGATTTAAAGTTAGGTAGTCAGTGTAGTTAGGTAGATTGGGTCTAATATCGAGTAAGATCCAAAATGGAGGCATTCTGGGAAAAGTTGAACAACTCTTGGAATGTTAATGAAGTCCAGGAAAAGCCCTAGGCCCAAAGCCCATCCCAAAAAGTATTAATGAACAGCCCCCAGCAAACTTGAAGATGCTGACTCAGAAGTCCTTCCTGACCAGATTACTTCTTTGGCCCCCAGGCCCATGTCAGGGCCCCCACTGAGCCCAAGCAGTGAGGGATATGACCTCATTTCTCCTTCTCCCATGAAGGCTGCTTATAAGAGGGAACCTGGGAGGGGCAGTAAGTACTTGGAGCTGTCCATCTTCCATTGCTGTGCCCCCGGGGCTCCTTGTGTTCTCAAGACTTTTCTGGTGACAGAACTAGAGAAGGGAAATTTATAATTTTTTTGGTTTTTTTCAAAATAGAAAAAAAAGAACCCAAGGCCTTGTACCTTCTAGGCAAGTACTCTACTACCAAACTGGCCATCCCAGTTTTATAGGGTTTTTGTTTGTTTGTTTTTGCTGGGAATTAAACACAGGAGCTCATAACCACTAAATTACATCCCAGTCCTTTCTAGTTTATTTTGAGACAGGCTCACTAGGTTACCAAGACTGGCCTTGAACTGGAAATTCTCCTGCCTCAACCTCCCTGGTATTACAGGTGTGTGCCACCAAACCTGGCTTACAGCTTTTAATTCAAGTGGGCATAGTGTCAGCTCAGTTTGGCAAAACCACCACCACCCAATGTTCCCTCCTTTTCCCAGTTCCTGAAGCTCAGTGTAGCCACAGGCCCTGCTCTCTTGCCCTGCCCCTCAGGCTATTGGACCTCTTAGGTCCTGCAGCCCAGCTGGGTTCTGGATAGGGCCTTTGTGCTGACTATGCTGCAGGCCCTCTGCTACCTACAGACTCTGGGGAATTACCTCTTGTCACACAGCCTGAAAGGCAGGAGTTCCTGAACTAGTGCTTTGGGGCCAGGGTCTGAGATTTGCTGAGACAGAATTCTGCCCCCACTGCATTCACAGCTTCCCTGTTCCCAGTGAAATAGTCAAGGATCCCGGATCTGACCCAGACAGGGACGAGCACCTGATGCTGGTGAGGACAGACCTGGGGCCACAGCTGCAAATCTGCTTTTGTTCTGAGAGTGGGGCCAAAGGGTGGCTCTGGGTCCACAGAGTGGTTCTGCCTTCATACTTCAGGAGAGAAGATGACCAGGTCACTGAGGTTTGGAGCCCAGGTTCCTCTGTTCCAAAGCTGGGAGGAAGAAAGATGTTCCTGATAAGTATTCTGAGTTTCCAAGAGAAATTGGTGTAATTTATGTAGGTCATAATTACAGAATTAATTATCCTTGAGTCAACAGCCCAGGACATTGCGCAGTTATTTTGTGGTCTAGAGTCGAGGAAGGGAGAAGGTGTGGAGCTCTCCAGTTTATAGTTAATTTTGCGACACACTAAAAGTAAGAATTCTAAGAAAAAAGGAAAAGCCCTGACAGTGGCTTCTACATACTCTGAGCAGAGGACCCTGTCACATACCAGGATGCTTTAAATGAGGACAATACTCTTTCATCTCTCCCAAAGCATGCTAATCTCTGACTCCATCTCCTGGGGCTCACCATCAGGGGAGTAAGGAAGGCCCAGTAGGGCGGAGTGAAGCCAGGAGCTGTCACTGTCCCTTCCCGTCACCTTGTTCTTCAGCTAGCACCCCTGAAAACCAGTCAGGCACCCTAGAAATGCAAGAAGGATTGGAGTACCCTATAGTGTAAATAGGATCTTGCTAGGTTGCAAGGGAACACTGAGCATTCTAAGATGGGCAGGTCTAGGAAGCCCAGATGAAGCTTTTTTACACAAACCGTGTGTGGATCTAGCATACCCCAGGGTTCAATCCCCAGTATAAAAAAATAAAATAAAACAGAAAATGTGGCATGAAGCCCTGGATATGATCACCAGCTCTGCAGAAAACAAAACCACAAAGGAACAACTTGATCAGGGAGGCAGAGCTTCAAGGGGGCTGGTAGTGAAGGAAGGGAGAGCCGGTAAGGAAGAGGATCTAGGGGGCTGGAGGCGGGAGCTCAGAGACGGAGAAGTTGCGCAGGCAAGGCGGGGCAGCCGGGGAGGCACTCAAGGGCCCGACTTAAGGCTGACTTCAGAGGCTCCCGCAGAGAGCTACCAACGGGAACCACAGTGTATGGCACTCCAGCCCCTGAGGGGCGGTCTTGGTCTTCCAAAAGCACGATCCTGGGTGAAACTTGCCCAGAACTTTTGTTTCTTGAAGAGGAGTGAGCCAGGAGGAGATCTGGAGTGAGACTGAGCCGGGAGCCTCTGGAGCTCCTGTGACAATAAGTCTGGCAAGAGCCTCGGCAGGCCCCAGGTGCCTGTCCCTGGCTAGGGCCAGGCTCTGGAGTTTTCCTGGGGACCGAAGGTAGGTGGGAAGGGCACTTTTCCTGCAGGGGTGAGGCCAGACAGGGTGGGACCCGGGGCCGTAAGGACTAAGCCAGAGGAGCAGGAGAGCTGGAAGGGGAAGCGCCAGAAGTTGATGGGGGCGGGGAGAGCTGAGGGCGGGCGGCGGTGTCCAGGGTATTCCGACGGGGACTGCAGGCTGACTCTGCAGAACTGAGTCGTGGCTTCTCCTAGATGTATGCATGATGGACTGGTTGTCAGGGGACCTGGGTTTGAGTCCGGATTCATCATCTTGGACAAGTTATCTGCTTTCTTTGAAACTCATACTCTGGATTAGGATAAAACATCTCTGGCTCTTTCCCCCTGGGTTTCAGGAAGGGAAAGCCAGCAATCCCCTGACTCCCTGTGAAGCCAGCAAACTCCTGACTCCCAGTGCGAGCGGAGCAGGTGGGCGGCGGTGCGAACATGTCCTGCAGAAATGCGTCCCGGCGAGTACCGTCCCCTTTCCCACAACAGAACAGGTCGTGAGTGCCCGCGTCCGCTGCGTGCCTTGCGCCCTCCTTTGGCCCTCCAAGACCGCGAGCAGAGCCCCCGAAACAGTCCCCTAGGGTGCGACAGGCTCCCAGTCCCATCCGCCCTTCTTCTTTTCCTGGCCCAGGTAGCCTCCTCCAGGTCCCCAGAGCACCTAGAGGAGCAGCGGGAAGCTGTCTACCCCCAGATGGCGCTGTGCCCCCGCATCAAGTTCAGAGGCACCAGAGAAATGATTACATCATCCCAGGCCCCGGCAGGATCCCCCAGGAGGGCGGAGGAAGGGAATAGGCTTCTCCTCTGGCTAAACCGCGTTCAAGTTTGGTAGAAAGGGCTCTAAGGTGACAGGTTCTGTTGAAGCCTGAAGATTTGGAGATTGGTTCTGTTAGGTTTCTAGTGCTTTCCTGAGGCACCATCACCAGTCTCATCTCAGTGGGGTGGGGGTAAGCAGGAGGATCTGTTATGAGAAGCAGCTCTGAAGGCTCAAGACCTGTGCCCTCTGCCTTTTGCTAGTTGTGTGATCATAGAGTTAATCTCTGTCTCAAACTTTATCTGCAAAATGGAGAGAACATGAGTATCCACCTCACAGAGTTGAAGGATAACCGGAAAAATACAAAGCATCTAGCTAGTGAACATAACCCAGCAGGCATAGGGGGAAATGGCTTAGCTTCAGCTCATACCTTCTGAGGTAGAGTGTACCCTGGGATCTGGTGTGGGTGCTACTCCCTGCATGGTCCTTCCTGGACCTATGACTGCTGTGGGGAGCTGGCTGTGAGCCCACAGTTGGGAAGAGTCATGGAATGAGCATCCCCTGAACTTGCCTAATATAGCCATCTAGGGCCCCAAGCTTGGCTCTGCCGTGTTACCCTGAGACCAGCTCTGGACACTGAGTCCAGGCAGGAAGCCTAATTCAGAAGCACACCCAGGACAACTACTTTGGGGGTTCCTGCACCCAGAGCTTAGGCTTTCCCCCATGTGATCCTTTTGTGGTGGTAAACTGAGTTTATGGTCAACTTGTACAGTGAGGCAGGGAACCTGAGCTTCTACAGCTTTCCTGGGAGCCCTGGGTGAGTATCAGGACCTGTAGTATATGACAGAGGTGAGACATAGTGACTCTCAGCTAAAGGTTTGTATATATTATCAAAATCTTATGGAAAAACAGATACACAGCTATTTTTACAACAGCGGGTGGGTGTGAGGAAAATGTCTGCTTTGGCATCAAACCTTCAGGTCTGTTCCTTTCCTCTCCTCTGGAGCCTAATCCCACCGGGCACTGTCCATCCAGGCCAGCTGCCCTCCGTGTCCTCAGCCCCTCCTACTCTCCCCTTGGACTCCCACGCCCTGGTTCCCTCTGCCATTGCCCCTCAGAGTACCATTGGCCCAGCAGCTTTGCCCCAAGGGCTCCTCAGTGGCCTGGATCCTGGCCCTGAAGGGCAGTGGGGCTGGATATGTGGTCCCTGGGGGACATCTTTCCTGGATCATAGGCCTTTTGAAGCGTGCCAACTACAAAGGGCCTGGGCAGTGCCATCTTCTCCATGATGCACAAAAAAAAAAAAAAAAAAAAAAAAAACTCTTCTTGTCCAGAAACCTCAGCTCCAGGCATCAAAGCAATTTTTGGAGAGCCCCAGAGACAAGAAAAGGAAGGTGAGAGGAAATGCAGCGTCCTCCCTTGAGTGTGGCCCAGGCCTTGAGCTCTCCCATGGCAGAACAGGGACAGCCACAGAAGGTCAGCCAGAGTGGTGTGGGCAGGGTCTGTGCAGCCCTGGATGTGAGCCAGGGCCATCATGGCCTTGGCACCAGAGCCCGGCAGCCTGGTCCTACTGAAGCAGCTTGGGCACTTCCACCTGTAGGGCAGAGAGACAGGTTAGAGCAAGGAGTTTGGCAACTGGGCCTCTGGAATTCATCTCACCTCCCTCCCTTCTGGAAGTACACCATCCCACACCTCTCAATATGTGTCTGTGGGATGAATGTATGAGGTATTGACACGGAAGGAGCATTTCTCCTGTTCTGTAACCACTAGACATCAGAGCCCAGCAAGTTGAGAGGCTGAGGCAGGAGGATCAAAAATTCAAGGCCAGCCTCAGCAATTCATCAAGGACCTGTTTCAAATTTAAAAGGGTGGTGTGTGTGCTGGGGATGTAGCTTGGTGGTAGGTTCAATACCCAGTATCACAAAAAGTTAACAAACAAAAAACCTGGATGTCATCAGATGACCACTAGAATTATAAGTGAGGTTGTCCTTTATCTCATGGTGTCCAGTGGCAAATAATGTGAGAGTAGGATATTCACTCAGACAGGCAAATGACAATGGACTTTGTCATCCAGGGAGGCAGGACTATGAGAAGTAGGGTGCCCGGGGATGATCCATGTGTCCATTGCACTGGTTAGTCAAAGATAAACTATACTGAGGGCAAACCTTTGGGATAGACTGACCCATAGAACTGAGCTGATCCTGAGAGGGGATTACATAAAACCAATATCACTTTTGTTTGGGGAAATGGAGAAAAGGAGACTCAGGGGAAGAAGCCAGGTGCAGTGGTACAGGCCTATAATTCCTCCTGCCCAGAGGATGAGAGGCAGGAGGATCCCAAGTTTGAGGCCAGCCTAAGCAATTTAGCAAGACCTTTTTAAAATAAAAAAGACTGGGGAGATAGCTCAGTGACAAAGAGCCCCTGGGTTCGATATCTCCAGGTTTTTTTGGGGGGGGAAGGAGAAGACAACCTAGAGGAAGAGCCACAGCAACACTCCATGTGTGGAGGCTGCCTCTCCATTAGCAGGAGGAACAGGTTTGATGGCTGGTGAAGGAGTTCCAGGTGTGGAGGGCGAGGCTAAAGGAAGCATAGAGTCCCACCTGTAAGGGAGATACAGATGTGGCCTGCCTGGGGGCAGGAGCATGGCTGAGATGACCTGCAGGCCCCGGGGTCTGGGTGCACCTGCAGGAGTGTCTGCATGCTGGCCTGTTACAACTGCCCTCTCCTGTCAGCCCCTGGGCACCCTGCCCTGTGGCCACGCCCACAGCAACTTGCCTTCTTCAGCTGTTTAAGGTTGCTGGAGCGGATGGCGGCCAGGAGCTGGTCACGTGAGTTCTTCTCCTGGGCAGGGAGGACTTTGTCTCCCATTTTCCTCTGAGTGGCTGGGGAGAGGGAGTTCTTCAGGTTCTCCATGATAAGGGGTGGAGCCAGGGGCGGGGGAGGAGGGGGAGGGGCAGCTGGAGCACCCCCTTTCTTTGGGGAGTTCTTTGGAGCAGGCTTGGGAGATGGCTGGGGTGAAGGTTTGGGGGAGCCCTTGGCCAGGGCCCCTCCCTTGGGCACCTCCAGCAGGTCCTTCTTCTCTCCGCGGGCTTCCTGGGCCTGCCTTTGCTCCTGCAGCCGCTTTTGTCGCTGCTTGTCCATGTTGCGGCTGAGCAGGTTGGTGACGGTCATTCGGGGCCCGGCAAGCTCAAAATGGTAGCCGAGCTTGAGCAGGGTGGTGTTCTCCTTGAGCAGCTTGGCGATCTCCATCTCCGTCTTGCCCCCGCAAATGTGCCGCTGGTTGTGGAAGCGCAGCTCGGTCAGCGTGTTGTTCTGGAGGAGAGCTCGGAAGATGGCCAGGATGCCCTTGCCCGTGATGTGGTTGGAGTCCAGGTTGAGGCTGGTGATGGTCTTGTTGGCCTTGAGCATGATGGCTATGGCGAAGGCCACGTGGTCGTCCGCGCGCGTGTTGGCCAGGGCGAACACCTTGACCACGGTGTTGAACTCCAGGGCCTCGGTGAACCTGACCAGGATCTCGTTGGTGATGCAGTCCGAGTTGTTGACGTTCACTTCCGTCATCTCCGGGTCGTTGTTCTTCACTCTCTCCAGAGGCTCGTCAAAGATGCTGGGGGCCGCTTCCTCCTCCGCCCTGGGGGGCCCCTCCGAGGGTTTGCTGGGGCTGGGGCCTCCAGCGGCCTGTTTCTCAGCTGCCTTGGTCTTGCTCTCTTCCTGGGCCTCCTTCTCACTTGGGGACTCCTCCCTCTGGACTTTCTCAACCTCCTTTTTCGTGTCCCTGTCCTCGGTTCTTCTTTTTGCCCCACCCTCCTCCTTTTTCCTATCTGTGTCCCCAGTGGCTCTTTTTGTCTTCTCGTCCTCCCGTCTCACATCTGTGCTCCTGCTGTCCCCCTTTACCTTCTCACTGTCCCCTCTCTTGGCCAGCTCCTTCACCTCCTCGCTCTTCTTGTCCTTGTCCTTGATCAGGCCTGAACTCCTGTCACTCCGTCTCTTCTCCTCTTCCTTCCTGACGGCCACCGTCTTCTCGTCTCCTCTCCCATCCTTCCCTGCCTCCTTCTTGTCCACCACAGCCCTGACCCGGCCCTTGTCGATGCCCCTGATCACCTTCTCCTCCTTTGGCTTCTCCCCACTCCTGCCATCAGCTTCCTCTTTGTCTCTGGAGAAGCTTTTCTTTAGTCCGCCCCTCTTTGGCTCCTTTCCCAGGTCTGAGTCCCGTCTGGGGCCCAGGGCCTTTGTGCTGGCATCTCTGCCCCTTTCCTCTCCATTCTTGGCATCGGCTCTGGTCTCCACTTGCTTGCTTTCCTAAGAATTCAGAAAAGAAAAATAAACATGAAGAGCTGGCTTCAGTAGAGGAGCGGGTTACAGGACAAGCGAGGGAGCACTTATACAACTGCCCTTGGGCCTCCGAAGGACACTGGGTGTTTGGGAGAGTGATGGGCATGTCCCTGAGAGAATAGCAGAAATGGGGCTTTGCGGGATTCCAATCGGAGAGAACGGGCCAGTGTCAGACTCCGCCACGGGTCATGAGATGCCAGAAAGAACACCTGGAGAGGTTTGGACCAAGCGCAGTTTCTTTCCCAGAGCATCTTCAGACCCAGATTTGCCTTTCTGTCATGGATGATTTACCCATGGCACCTCTGACCCCCTTAAAAGGACTGCTTCTAACAATGTTAGCACCTGAGGCAAAAGCAAAAATCACCAACACTGATCCTGTTTTGAATTTTTTTTTTCAGTGCTGTAGATTGAACTCAGAACCTTGAACATGTGAGGCAAGCGCTCCTGCTACTGAGCTATATCCCCAGTCCTTTTTCCTCTGTTTTGAGAAAGGGTCTTGCTAATCTGTGGAGGCTGGTCTTGAACTTGGAATCCTCCTGCCTCAGCTTCCCAAGTTGCTGGGATTATAGGTGTGCGCCACCTCACTTGGCTTCTGCCCGTGTTCTGTGCTCAAGTTCACACTGCCTCATACCTAGTCCCAGCCCTGCTGCCAAGGGGAGGTCACCAGTTCTCAGATACTGGAATGTTATAAGCCAGTACATTGACAAAGAAAAAAGAAATTGAAAGAATCAAGACAGGGTTGCTAACATTGTACCAATTAAGGATATTCATAAATTTTACCTAGCAACATCATCTCATTGAAACAAGGAGCTAATTATTAAGAAGTGGGTAACAGACCAAAAGATGTACCTTTACAGCAAATTGCAAAACACGTGTGTCTCTTCAGAAGTTCCCAGTGTTGTCTTTTACTTATTTATTTATTTATTGCAATGCTGGGGATGGAACCCAGGGCTTGATGCATGTTGGGCAAGTACTCTGCCACTGTGCTGCATTCCCAGCCCTAGTCTTTATTTTTTAGTAAAAATTTTGCTAAGGTCAAGCCTCTCCCGTAGGTAGCCCTGGAGTCCACTAGGATTCTGCAACTCCACTTTGACCATGCACATGTGGGCTGCTGCTTGGGGAGGCTGTGGGATGGAGTCAGGGGAACACAACGGAGGCTTGAGTGTCCACCAGCCACCCAGCACCTCCCTGGGGGAGAGGGGTATTTCTTGCTTCATGAAGTCGAGGAGCTATTTCAAGAGGACCTAGTGCACATCCCCACCACAGGAGCAGAGGAAGCAGCAGATTACCTACAATACGGCATTAAATTTAACTGTCCAACTGGGACTCCAAGATATGCTAGGAGGACCTTCCTTAAAGGCGCATTGAGAGACCATGGCCTGAGCATGGAGGGTTTCTTTTAAGAGAGCCCAGTGGGGTGTGGAAAAGGGGAAGGAAGAAAGGCACTCCTTGTCCCAGAGGGAATGGAGGGCAAGGTTGGCCCTTTGGAGACAGTTTGTACCGGAACCACAAACACATGCCATTGGAGACCAGCCCCTGGGTATTTGGCAAGAGAAGTCCTTGGCTCTTCTGCTAGACTCATAATAGGCAGCCCAGGGGCCCAGAGCCTGGTGGACAGAGCCTTGGAAAGGGCACTTGTTGCCTCCTGCCCTAGAATGCATGGGATTCCACCTGGAACTGTGGTGATGGAACAGGGGACCGAGAGCCCCCCCAACTCACTGTGGCCCCCAAGGAACTGAGTTTGCCACTTATGATTGCCCTGAATGGGAAGTGGTAATAACTTTTCTGTATGTAAAGAAGTATGCAAATAGGATGTAAATGAGGAAACCCAGTGGGTTTCCTTTTAGGGAACTTTTATAATGATCTGCCCTTATGTGACCAGGGAATCTCCTCCCCTCCCATGCCACATGCAGAGTGGTTCCATCCACCTGGAGCTTGGCGGTGAGAGCTGATGGCATGGTCTCTAGATATCATGCCTCCCTCTCCTTCCCTTCCCAGAATGCGTCCACAGCGGAATGTCTCAGAGCCCACCAGGCACGGCCCAACTGTCCGCTGCAGAGATGCCATGCCTCTCAGTCACAGGCTGCGCTGAGGGAAGCTGGGGACCCAGAGAGAGATGACAGCCAATTTCACCCAGCAGGTTCAGGAAAAACTGAGGGTTAGGCTTGATTGTCTCACGAACAGCCACTGTTATGGTTTGGATGTGAGGTGTCCCCCAAGAGCTTACATGTGAGACAATGCAAGAAGGTTCAGAGAAGAAATGATCCGGTTGTGAGAGCCTTAAACTAATCAGTGGATTGATCCCTGATGGGATTAACTGGGCGGTAGCTGGAGGCAGGTGGATGTGGCTGGAGGAGGTAGGAGTTGGGAGCGTGGTCATGGGGTATGTGTTTTGTATCTGGAGAGCGGGCTCTCTCTCTGCTCCCTGGTCACCACGTGAGCTGCTTCCCTCTGCCACACTCTTCGTCATGATGTCCTGCCTCAAATCGAGCCCTGAGGAGTGGAGCCGGCTGTCTATGAACTAAGATCTCTGAAACTGTGAGCCTTCAAATAAACTTTTCCTCTTCTACAATCGTTCTGGTCAGATCTCTTAGTCACAGCAATGAAAAAGCTGACTAAAACAGCCACCAAGTCAATGTCACTGCCTCCAACCTTCCTATTAGGGGCCCAGGCTCTCCCTCCTGCCTGCCCAGGATCCCTTGGGTCCCCGAGTGCCCTTGCTGTCCATGGGACCTCAGTAAACCTCATCAGGCTCTGGGATCCCATTCAGAGCCTTCACTCCCTTCCCAACCAGGGCTTGTTTTCCACATTTGAACACTTTTCTCCCTTACATCCCAGGTCCTGACCTCTGCCCTCTGTCCTCCGGTGGGACTCCTGGCCACTCCCTCTCAGGTGCTTCCCCTCCGCTGTGGTCCTGCTTGGCTAGGATCTGCCAAGTGCCTGTTCTGGGGAGGTGTGCCAACCCTTTAAAAAGAACCTAATGAAAAACAGGCCGAGTGGAGGAGGGGGAAAGGGCTGATTAATCATCAGTTTCCTCCAAATAGCCAGGAATGAGTGGGGCTGGGGCTTGTTGCGGCTCGAGCAGCCCTGGGAGCTCAGATGTTGCCTTAAAAGGAGAAGGAGCCCGGAGTCCTCCCTGGCCTGGGATTTCTGTGGGGCGAGTTCCTCGGCACACACCAGCGCCGTCTCCTTCAAGCTTATCTGAGAAGGAGTCCAGGCTGACTTCTTTTTGTTTCTAGAACTAGTGGTGCATCCTGGTGACCTCCAGAGGTTATTTTTGCATGTGTTCCTGTCCGTAGTCTTTAGTTTGTTCCTTATAGCAAAAGGGGTTTAAGTTAGCCATGATAAAGAACTTCCATAGAATGACAGTTTGTATCTTCTAGATGGGAGCCCTAAGTAACAATATCTTTTCCCCCTTGGGAAAACCTGAAGGGGTAGGGAAAGCCCATAGGCAGGGGAATGGAAAGGATGACTTCAGAAATCCTCTAGTGGGGCTGGGCACAGTGGTGCACCCCTAGGGAGGCTGAGACAGGAGGATTGGAAGTTTGAGGCCAGCCTCAGCAACTTAGCAAGACCCTAAGCAATTTAGTGAGATCCTGTCTCCAAATAAAAAATAAAAAGGACTGGGAATGGTCACATGAGTTAGATCCATGTTCAGTGCCCCTGGTGGGGTCAATGGGCAGAACACACCATCTTTTTCCTCACAGGGGTCTTCTGATAGGATTCCCTGTGGAGTCTTATCTAACTGCAGAGAAGAGAACAATTTACCACCTCCCTTGCCAAAAGAGCAGAGGAGAATTGTCTATCCAGAAGGCATCTGTACATAAAGACATAAAGACAGACAATTGTCTAACTTAAAAAGTGAGAACTTTCTGGTATGAGAGTCAAAGCCTCTGAGTCTGCGCTCAGCACCCGCTCGCTGAACCCCTGCTGGCTCATGCCAACTCCTCTCAGCTCATCTCTTTCCTTCCTGTGACCCAGCACCTGAGGAGGAGGCGTCTGCCCCTCTGAGAGCCATCCTAGCCCCAGACAGCTGCCAGGAGTCTGCAGGAGGACCCTAGGCTGTCAGAAGGCACAGGACTTCTGCTTTTACTTTTGCTTGTGTCCCCTTTCCAGCCACTTGCCTAGGAGAGACAGAGTGATGGAGGGCAGGGGCGCCTGCATGACTGTACCCATCACGTGTGAAAACCCCGCTGTGAAGTCAGGCACCTTTGTTTCTCCCTAAAGCAAGACTGAGGTGATGCTGACTCAGACGGCAGTGGCCCTCTTGCTGTGTCCTGCTCAGTACCTCCAAGGGCTTCTGGCTGGAGGCATCCAGAACGCCCCCAGCTGGAGCTCCAGGCTGGATGCAGGGCTTCAGGTCCTTAGCTCGGCTTTTGGTAGACCCTCTTCCCAGGCCTTAGCTGCCATTGTCCCTGAGGGCATTGACAGGCTCCTGTGTGTGGATCCAGAACTCACTAGAAAATGCATTTCTACCTTGGCGGTGGCCTGCTTCTTGCTTCCCCCAGATCAATGGGACATCTCCTAGTCCTGCTCCCAACGTGCTGACCCCTTGCCACCTGTCCTTCCTGGTCTTGCACAAGATCTCACTCCCCTGCTCTTCTCAAGAAGCTGTCCCAGCAGGGGGCACTCCCTCCAGCCACCTGGTGACCTCCTGGTCTCAGGAACTGCGGCTGCCAGTGTCATCTGTCTGCACAAGGGGGGGCTGGGAGGAACTGGCCACAGGTCCCCTGGGAGAGCAGCTCGCTTTCAGGGCTGGTGCGAAGGGCAGGCAAGCAGAAGGGCCCCGACTGGTGGGGATCAAAGGAGTCGTCTCCTCGGTCTCCTGCCTCACTCCATGTGACTCTTTTATGGGTTTTCCACCAAGAAGAAAGTTTCTAGATTCTCCTAGCAAGCAGTTTTGGGAGGGTCCACTGCTGTTTGGGGAAAATAGCATCGCCAGGGCTGGCAGTCTGGGAAGGGACCAC